GCAAAATTAAATAAAAAACAACATCTATTGAGGTCAGAGGTCATGAACCCAGAAATGGCCCATGTGCCTAAGTTTGAGACCTGTGCTGTAGAGGTCACGATTATGTCACTTTATTCTGTATTTGTCATGCAGACAAAGGTGACTTACGTCTAACGGTGTTTGTGAATCCTAAAGTAAATTAGTAAATTGATACTCGCAACACAATCTGAAAAGTTGTGACAGAGGAAAGTTCAGCCCTGGGTCAAAAAGGACAATGAACTGTATCAGTTCAGAACAGTGAACGTTCTCTCTGTGGAACAACAGTCTGAGCTGCTCGACGGTCGGTCATCACCGTCGTCACAAAGACCGTCTGGACACTCACCACCCTTCTTCTGCTTTTTATTTTGTCCCATGACTTCGTCGCAGTTTTTAATTTTGGCCCAGTGTGCAGAGCCCAGAGAGTCCTGGGTTCGATTCCCAAAGAAACCACATGCTTGGCAGCCTGTTGTGACAGAGCTGTTGTTGACACAAGTTGACACAAGAATTCCCCACACCATTAAAGTTCTTTTTTTTGTTTTTAAATAATGAGGAGCTTTGTGTAAGTGGACAGTTACCCGTCTGTCGTTGGCGGTTGAAACAAACTCAGTGCAGTTAAGTCAGGTTCTGGGACTAGAACCTTGGTGTAGAACCCTCACTGTTTTTTTAAACGTAATTCCGTTAAAAACAAATCGCTGTAACATAGCTGTATTTGCCTCACCTCTTTTTTTCTGGGAGTGTTTTTTTGTTGGAATGTCTTAGAAACGCTCCACTGGCCTCAGACCATCACCGTCTGCCCACAGTATCTCAGAATAATGTGTCGTAAATCCCCCCAGGAGGAAAAAGCTGTAGCTGGCGTTGTGCAGCATCTGGAATAGGTTTGAGTTTGAATTTTTGAAGTGTAGTGTGTCAGGTGTGCAGGCCACACCTTCGTGTTTCAGTCAGAGAAGTGGAAGTCACAGCAGCAGGTTCTCAGATAGTCCGGTGCACTTTGTCCCTGGGCTTAGTACGACGTTATGTCGTTGTATGTGTGTGTGTGTGTGTGTGTGTGTATCAACAAGTGTGTGCAGTGAAACCTGATTCCCTCTGTTACCTGAGTTAGCCACACCCGGTCCCTGTTGTTTCGGAGAGAGAGAAAAATCCCTGGAGACGTGAGAAAACGTGCACGAGTGTCTTTGAAACTTCTTTCTTTCCTTCTTTCTTTCTTTCTTTCACCACTGCCTGTTCTACCAGTTTGATCGTCTTCAGTCCGTTCGTCTGCGCTCAGCTTCTCCTCACCAGCGCTGATGAATTATGTTCAGTTGTGAACTTGGGTTTTTCTGGGGGAGGCCTGAGGCTGAAGTGTGGACACATGTGTGAATGTCATGATAAATGAAGACCGTTTTGACGACGGAGTCTCGGAACAATCAGTCCATAGAATCATGTGACCCTGTCATTACTTGGTCGAACATATCCCCCCCCCCGGGCTCCCTAAAGGGAGACGTTTAAGGTGGAACCTCCGACATAAATGTCAGTCACACATACAGTACATGTGAGCACATGCACAGACACACCTGTCTCCACACAAACTGTATGTAGCTGTTATTGTCCAGGAAGACGTGACAAAGATACATGAGAAACAAAGGCATTATTTTCTCTATTTATATATGTACACATACATGTTTACTTATATATTTATATATGTGAACATGTATTTATACATATATTTATATATGTATTTACATATATATGTATACATGTATGTATACATATATATATGTATACATATATTAATATGTATATATAAATATATATATAAACATGTATGTGTACATATGTTTGTACACATATATGTACACATATATGTACACATATATCTATATAGGTATATATAAATATATACCTATATAGAGATATATTATATATGTGTACAGTATGTGTACATATATAAATGGGGGAAAATAATGCATTTCTTTCTCTTATATTTATATTATATCTTCTTGGACGTCATTTTGCAACATGGTCATGTATGTACAAATGGTGGAAATAAAATATTCCAATTTCAATTATACGTATATAAATTTGTGACTGCGAAAAATTACCCAAAATGCAGCGGTAAACTCATTGAAGTTTTCTGCTGCATTTCGTTGAAGTGCAGGGAAAAAACCCCCAGAAATGTTTGGGAACAGGTATGATGTGATAGAGCAGGTTTAACATGTCCCAGATCAGTTGTTCTGTGGTGAGTGGGTGATGTGTTGGCAGAGGCAGAGGCTCGCAGCCTGGTGTAGGATGGTTATTGTACTGTGTCTTTAGAATGAGGAAGGTTCATTTGGAAACGCTGCCTCCTCTTAACAAATAAGAAAAAAAAAAGTAGAGTCAGAACAGGCCCAAGCGGAGGGAACTCATGTTAAACACTTTTTTTTATATCTAGACCTCCATATTTAAATATACCTCAAGTGTTAGCAACTTGTTGTTGAGTAGAAGGTTGTGTCGTCTTAGCAGGTTTTATTCTCAGCTTCACTGCTGCGTGTGGTTGTTGTTGATGTCGTTCGTTCTCAGTTTCTGTGTTGAGTTTGAACACGTGCTTTTTGTCACATCCAGCCAACCGGATTTGACATTTGCTTCGCTGGTTTTCATGAGAAAGTGATGACTGAGCTGCTGTGAGGAAGAGGAAGAAACAGGAAAAGAAGACTAGAGGTCGCTAGCTAATTACTATTCAGACAGAGTGCCTTTGGGGTAGAACGAGACAGAGAGAGAAAGAAAGAGAGAGAGAGCACTTCTCATAAAGCAGGGCTGTGAGTGTGAGTGCATGAAGACAGAACTTTCTAGATTATGTGTGTACTTGAAAACATTCTGAGGTGACTGAACCCCATATAACTGTCAGCTGAAGGGGAACGAGGAGCGTTGTTATGGCTGGAGCCTTAACCCTCAGGAGGTGGTGATCATAATGTTTAATTGAACAGTCCGTACCACCGTCTTGATTGATAATCAATGTAAATTAGACATTTTATTTATTAAACAAACCAACAATAGATACATTCAATCAGGGTGATTCTACAGAAACACATCACTGTTCTGTTATTTCCCATTAAAATAACATTAAAATTATTTTGAAGTTTATTGTTTGAGAGTCTTTGCTGCAACTGTATAATTAAAAACATGACTCATAAACGGTCAAACTTGGGATTAATCACGGAAGAAAACATTTTTGATGCTCCTTTTCATTTGTAGTTGGCATAGGATTTTCATGCAATGTTTTTTTTTTACGTCTTTAGCTCCCCCTGCTGGAGCCAGTATGGAATAATATGAGCATGGGAAAACCGATGAATCTTAAATCATGCAGATGGGAGTGAGATTACTTCAAGGTTCATTTAATGCCAGCACAGCCCCTCCCCCATCCGTGATTTCATGTCTCGCTTCCTTCTGTTTGTCTCCCCCCCTCTCTCTCCCCCTCTCTCCCCTCTCCCCCTTCTCTCCCCCTTTCTGCTCAAAACTGCCTGTTCACATGAGCTAAAAATAAAACATATGACTTAGTCAGGCCAACTGTACCGTTCATGCATTACTTATAGCAATGTTTGTTACGCATCTGCTCTATTTTTTTTTGTTTTGTTT